AACCCATCAAACCGTTCTTTATACCTTTTAGTAGAAAAAACGCATACAAAATATTGTAATACCAAGCCTTCTATTTAGACCTATAATCTAAGCTGTGGAAGCAAATGTTATGTCACTCAGGAATAGAATACCATCACCAAACATGGTATGACGTCATAGTATAAAAACTGCCTGGTTTTAAGAATACTGATCAATTTTCAAAATTTGGTCAGATATTAATGAACTTGAGTCTTAAATGTAGTGTCATTTTATAAAAACAACAATTTGCAATGTTTAACAGATGACACTTATAGTGAGTGAGTGACTCCCACGCAGTGTTGGGTTTGGAAGAGTACCGTGTCTGTAATTTCATTAAACCACCTTTTAACCAATGAGAACTATTGCACAATCTCGGTTTCGCGTTTCACGTGTGAATAAATCATGGACGAAAAATACAAATCATGACTTATGTGATAACTATAGACACACAAATACCTTTTCTCTTTCTTTCATCTACTTATTCAGTAGGTTATTTGATTTAGCCAAGAATATATTTAACATATAATTCAAATCGACTTTTTAAGCATTGTATCTGAAACATATCTTATTATAGTGTACTGTGAATATCCAAATAATTTACTTTCCGTAAAATTGTACATTACATGACTTCAAAACGTATCTATAACCAGATTACTAAATCGAGCTTTTGCACTCCAAATGCCTTTAAATGCATCCGCAAATTGTTTGTGTGACGGGTGACTGAATATGTTTCATATAAAAACCGTCCAGATTATTACCGGGGCGTTGTGATTTGCTAAAATTATTTTTTGACGACAGAAATGTGACATATTTTACTACTAAATTTAAAAGAAAGTCTTTCCAGAGTTAACAAAGTATGATGTTACTATTTTAAAGATATTCATATGGCACGAGTTTAAGATTTTAACAGCAATCTTGAGAATACACACACAAACAAAGGGTTAAGTTAACCCTTTAACTTTGTTTCTGACATTTTTCAGTTTCGGTACTTTTGCATTTGCACTGAATGTTACGGTAATTTACATTAAAAATACAATGAAAAAGGAGGGAACTGAAATATAGTTTTCAAAACATTGTACATCATATTTATACCTGTAATTATCGCCTTCAATTGCCTGATAAATTATACAAAGAAATTATACAAAGGACTCCCAACTTTAACATCCTTTATATGTCGACCAGCAACAACACCATAAGCAGTCTTTCGAACAAATCATCCACAAACGTTTTGTTTTACCAGGAGTTAGGAGGCCAGTTTTATGTTGAACACTTAACGTCTACCAAAGGCCGATGCAATCAAATCAGCAAATATACTATCTGAAAAGCAGCGATATAACCGCTATTACTCAGGGTGAAGGAAAACGTTCCCCACCAAGACAGTCGATAGGATGCACACTTCAGACAACCAAATAACCGGCAGTGACCAATTTTCACGTGAGAGTAAATTAACTCAACACTATATAGAGCGAGTAACGGCGGGTGGGTTAGTTAGGAAGAACTCGGCTCTGAGGGTCTGCAGTAAAATGTATCTCTTGCACAGTTAAGATCACTCGAACACGCCTAAATAGAAGCATAGTCTTACAGAATAACGTTGCTTGAACTGAACTAGGAAATTCTACACTTCTACAACATGCTGGTGTCTTTTTACAGAGGATTGATAACTGTACCCATTTCATCATTAGACCAAGTGAATGACTCAGTATAATATTGAATTAATACGTAATATTACCCAGTCACAAGATGTGCTTCACGTGCCACATACCCTTGCAGTTCAGCACGTTCGAGATTATGATTTCCAATCTGACAGATCTCCCACAGCAGGAGTGATACAAAGTATTTAGCCTGTCTTCTTCCTTCATCTGTGTTCAAGTTGTCCTTAACAAATGGCATCGTTAAAGTGCGACTTTGACCAATTTCCAGTCCAATACGTGTTTGTTTCTGATCATTCAAACATTGCCTGTCAGCTCAAATTTCATTATGTCGTTCAATTCTCCAATACTGCTTACTTATTGTAAGCGATACTGTGTTGAGAAAAATGGTGAAGATTGGTCGTATTAGGCAGTTGCATACATAAAAAGATGAAAAAATATTGTCGCTGTCGTTTGTGACATGACAATTTCTGCAATTTGTAAAGAAGTTTTCAACGTGATGACTTGCTTTGTATATTAAAAAAAACCAAACAAATATATTGCACTTTCCATAAACAAATGGTGGTTAAAGATACCTCTAAGGATAAATTGATGAAGCGTCAAGGAAAGTCTGGGTGGGTAAAAAATCTGTCAGGACACTCGAGCCTATGACATGATTACACATACGTTTGACAGCTTATTATCACGTATAGCTACATATAGTATCATTATGATTGATATCACTACAGTAAGGGTCACGATACGATGCACACAATCAGACATGGTAACTCGCTTCATGCTATGTTTGGTGCTGTATTCAATAATCACAGTGAACTTAATTAAAAACATCAAGAAGAATTGACTGAGGTCATTTATACGAGCCAGAAATTCATACTCACTTAATTCAAGTCAGTGAATCTGGTTTAACGGCTCCCTAAACAGTAATTCCGATGTGAGAGAAGCAGGTCTTAGATGTTTACAAGTTAGTGAGTGAGTTTAGTTATTTACACTGATTTTAGTATTATTCCAGCAATATCATGGACGGGGACACCAGAAATGGGCTTCACACATTGCACCCATGTGGGGAATCGAACCCGAGTCTTTGGCGTGACGAACGAACGCTTTAAATACCGGGCTACCCCACCGCCCTTTTACCAGTTGTAAATATCACGAGTATGGCGCTGATAAAGTTGAATTATAGTTATAAGATGGACCCGGGATTCGAACCCAGGCACACTAATAGTAATGTGTAGCTTTGGTGAATAGCCTCATGCAATAGTACTCATCACGTAACAATAAGTAACGTGAAGCTTTGAAGAGTCGGTTAATTGTTACCTCTAACTAACCGCTGTAACAGGGGCGAATAGATACGTGTTATAAACAAACACAAATAAGCATCCCCGTGACATAAATGGGTCAGTGTGCGGCATCAGAAGGGGAATGAACTTTTGGAAACATTACGGGATGAAGGGATGAATGTAGTGTGGTTGCCAGATTGTTAACCTTCAACGTTGTTTCATGTGCAGTTTGTTAGTTTCTGGCTTAGTTAAATTTTACATAATGAGAGAATACTGTTTGTAAATAACGTTTCCGTAGGAATAGACGCGCAGCGGTATACTCAAGCAGGTGTTTCGATTGCATGGAGTCGTGTTATTTTTTTGACATGATAAATATCGACAGCTAGAAGAGCGTCTTGCTTTGACAACTCCACCATGATGCTCGCCACATCAACACCTCCACTGAGATCCCAACCCGCTCACATAAAGCCTTGAAACAGCGTCTCTTAATTCCTTCTTTGTGTTTTAAGGCATCACGTAACTCTGAAAATCACATAGCCAGAGCTATAAAGAAACAATTGCAAATATTGTATTAACGAAAGAATTAAAACCATCATTGATGTTTGTTTGATTATCTGTGCCTAGAACAATTCCGTGTTCACAGTGCATTTCTTCTGACAGTGAGAACAGACAATAGCACTTAGGCTCACATGCTTCTTGACTTACTTCTTGCAAACACATCAGAACCATTAGAATTCCTTTGCATCCTGCCTTAGCCTTTCATGTGTTGAAGGGTACCCCGAGTGCCTCCTCCACTCACTCTCCACCTCCTCCCAATACACCTACTGTTACTTAAGGCATGATACACTCACCTTGATGTTTTCGATGTTTCTCCTCCAGCTTATGGGATCCCCTGTAGGTAGTGAACTTCTCAACGACAATGGAATTATGTCTTGTGTTTTGCATCACATACTGATGGCAACAAGCAGGTACATGTGCTCTCATACTCTTCATGTTGAAGATACTATAAAATGATCAAGCAAGCAAGGGTTATGCTAGGGTAAACAGGGTTGCACTGAGAACGAACATAATTTTTATTTGTGTGTCAGATGAACGATAACATGCGTAAACAATGTATACATTCAATATTATGTCTGACCTGCCCTCCGAAAATTTAGTATGTCCATGTCCTTGACAAAGTGTGCATTATGAGAACTGTCATTGTATTCATACATCATGTGATGTGCTTGAAAATGTGTTTGTGCGTGAGGCAGTCGTTTATGGCTGCAACAGTGATGTTGCGTCGGTATCTTATGATAGTGTTTTAAACCCCGATTTGCCCCGGTTGAGGTTCATCCTGACATCATTACTGTTCAATATTGATTCCAAACCAAATGCTTACCGTGTAGTTGAGTTTGTACTCTTGATGTATGGGGTGAGTGAGTGAGTTTAGTTTTACGCCGCACTCTGCAATATTCCAGCTATATGGCGGCGGTCTGTAAATAATCGAGTCTGGACAAGACAATCCAGTAATCAACAGCATGAGTGTTGCATAATGATTACTCCCTAAGAGTCTGTACACAATGACTGGTCCATGGGCAACGTGCGTCTGTGTAGGCCAAAACCAACATGGAGTAAAGTGTTCGTCTCCCACCACAGTTTCATGTATTCTGAGTCTTCCTAGGACATCACCAGACATGACATATAACTTAACATGGTGTCAGAAGTGAGTACGCCTGACAAACGTTACAAATTGTTGTGCATTACTGACTGAATATCTGAAAGAGCCGAGACGCACGTGGTTCAGTGTCACCTAATTTCGATAGGGGAGAGCATGCGATGTTTTGTGTGACAATATTGAATCTGTGACTAACGGAGTTTCTGTGAATCGGATTATATTGCTAGTCGTGAGTAATACAAGGATAAGCGAAACTACTGCTACTACTACTCAATCATGGCTGATGAAAGTTGAAATATTCCTTCACGGCAAGTGATACATGTACCTATGAACATTCCTTTGCCTCCTAAGCTTGATCTGAAGGGTGATTTGACGAGGAATTTCATAAAGTTCAAACGAATGTGGGGAAACTATGAGCTTGCTTCTCGAACAAAGACAGATTCTGATGAATGCAGATCAGCTACACTGTTAACCTGTATTAGTTTTGAAACTCTAGACATATTGGATGGGTTGCAGTTCGACAGTGAAAATGATAGGAGGAAAGTCGAGAAAATATTGGACAAACTAGAAGCTGACTGCATTGGCGAGACCAATGAAACATGGGAACGGTTCAACAAGCGGAATCAAGAACACTTTGAATCTGTTGATACTTATGCAGCAACCCTTAGGACTCTAGCTAAAACATGCAATTATGGAACGCTTGAAGATAGTCTCATCAGGGATCGAATGGTGATGGGCATTTGTGATAACTCGACTCGCAAGAGACTGCTGCAGTCTTCGAACCTATCACTTAAAGATTGTATTGACATCTGTAGGTCCCATGAGAGAGCAGCTGCTAGACTAAAATCTCTATCAAACACTGATGATGTGCAAGCTATCAGTAAAACTAGAGGTTACAAAAAACCGAAAGGAAAGGAAACTAAACCTGGATTGACTACCAGAATTGATCAGTCTCTATAGTGCAAATTTTGTGGACGCAGTCATGTGTTCGGCAGGAAGGAATGTCCAGTATGGGGAAGAATTTGCAACAAATATAAACGACCAAATTATTTTGCTTTTGTGTGCCAGTCGAGTCAAGCCAATGTTCAACTACTGAGTGATGATGATACTGAGAATGAATATATTTTATCAGTGGATGTTGAAAATGTGAACAGTGTTCAATTACATGGTGAAAGTCAACAGTATTAACGGAAGATTTTTGCTGTCCCCCTCATCAAGGAAACTGAGGTCAAATTTCAGTTAGATTGTGGATCTACTGTCAATGTGTTGCCAGAGACTATCTACGCTAATGTGTTTCAGGATCCCCACCTGGAAAAGTTGGAAACTCTGGTCAATACTACTCTTCGAATGTACATTGGAGTGAAATCTCAAACTGTTGGCAAGTGTGCAGTGACTGTCAAAAATCCCAGCAATGAGGGTGAATGCACCATTGAATTCTTGATAACGAGGGACAGAGGCTCACCACCAATACTTGGTGCAATAGCTGTTCAACAAATGCAGCTAATCACTGTGAACTTTGAGAACATTTTCCAGATCTCAGGTAGTGGAGAGTTAGCAAGATTGGACCTGACGGACATAATCCATCGTTACAAGGATGTATTAGAGGGAGAGGGTACACTTGATGGTTTGTTGCATTTTGAAGTAGATGAGACTGTGACACCAGTCCAGCTACCATGTCGTAAGGTTCCACTTGCCTTACAACAGAAACTCAAGGCTGAACTTGAAAGACTGACTGATCTGAAGATCATCACCCCTGTGAATGTTCCTACTGACTGGATCTCTGCCCTTGTTGTGGTCAAGAAACAGGGTACTGACAAGATAAGGATCTGCATAGATCCTAAACCACTGAATCAAGCTCTCAAGAGGAATCATTATCCAATAAAGACAATTGACGACATTCTGCCGGAATTATCAAACGCTAAGTGCTTTACTTTAGCAGATGCTAAAAATGGATTTTGGCATATCCAACTGGAGGAGGAAAGCAGTTTCTTGACAACATTTGAAACACCTTGGGGCCGTTACCGTTGGCTACGAATGCCATTCGGGTTGTCACCAGCACCTGAGGAGTTTTAGCGCCCTTTGAATGAGGCAATATGTGGCTTGGATGGAGTACGTGCTGTACATGATGATGTTCTGATCTATGGTGTTGGAGACACTTATAAAGTGGCTGAAGCTGATCATGATGAGAAGTTGTCCGAGTTCCTTGATCGATGCAGGAACAGAAATATCAAATTGAACAGATCCAAACTGAAACTGAAACTGACCGAGGTGCCTTATCTGGGACATGTCGTAACCTCGGACGGATTAAAGATTGATCACATGAAAGTTGAAGCAATCACAAACATGCCCACACCAACGGATAAGCAGGGTATTCAGCGCATTTTAGGGATGGTGAACTTTGTTCAGAAATTTGTACCCAACTTGTCTGAAGTGACTGCACCTCTGAGGGATCTGTTGAAAAATGATGTGAACTTCAGGTGGGATGAGCAAGTTCATGGCAAGTGTTTGGAAAAAATCAAACATATTCTGTCTGAACCACCTGTACTGAAGTACTTTGACAATGACGCCGAGACAAGCATTCAGTGTGATGCATCACAAAATGGACTGGGTGTTTGTCTGATCCAAAATGGTCAGCCTGTAGCATATGCATCTCGATCTTTGACCAACAATGAGAAACAATATGCTCAGATAGAGAAAGAAATGTTGGCGAATGTCTTTGGCATGGAACGATTTGAACAGTATGTCTATGGACGGAAGGTCGTCGTGGAATCGGACCACAAGCCATTGGGAGTCAATACTGCGCAAAAGTCTGTTGTGTGCTCCGAAGCGTCTCCAACGCAGGATGTTCAGAAGTACGATTTTGAGGTCATGTACAAGAGGGGATCTCAAGTGTTCTTTGCTGACACTCTGAGTAGAGCATATCTTCCACATGTGAAACATACTGAGACTGATGACGGAGATGTGTTTGCTGTTGATGTTCGATGTCAGACAGCGCTTGACGTTGAATCCATCAACATGGTTGAGTATGTGCCAATATCTGAGGAACGAATTGACCAGTTACAAAAAGCAACTGTGGAAGACAAATCAATGATGATACTGAAGGATCTGATTCAGGACGGCTGGCCAACGTCGTCAGATGATGTGCCATGGTGTGCCAGGGTCTTTTCCCCCTTTCGCGATCAGCTATCTGTTCAAAACGGCATAGTGTTCAAGGGTGAACGTGTTGTTGTGCCAGTCAGTATCCGCCCTGGCATCATGGAAAGAATTCACTACAGTCACTTGGGGATACAAGGTTGTATCAGAAGAGCCAGAGAGTCTGTGTATTGGCCCAATATGGCCGCTGACCTCACAGATTTCATCAGCAAGTGTGATTCTTGCAATACGCTGCAACAGGATCAAAGACGAGACCCAGTCATGAAATACCTAGTCGTCCATGGGAGAAACTAGGGTGTGATCTTTTTGAGTTTGATCAAAAAGATTTTTTGATCACTGTTGACTACTACTCGGACTATTTTGAGGTTGACAGACTGCATGATAAAAGGGCACCTGAAATCATTAAAAAAGTTGAAATCCCATTTGGCGAGGCATGGACTTCCCAAACAGATTGTGTCAGACAATGGACCTCCCTTTTATTCTGAAGCTTTCCATAGATTTGCAACAGAGTATGAGTTTGATCATATCACTTCATCACCCAGGTACCCACAGTGGAATGGGAAAGTGGAGAGTGCTGTGAAGATCGTCAAGAGACTCATGAGTAAGTCTCAGCATGCACAGTCAGACCCCTTTCTGGCCCTATTGGACTTAAGAAATGTGCCGACTGACGGTGTAGGCAGCTCGCCAGTTCAAAGGTTGTTTGGGCGCAGAACGAAAACGAAGATACCAACGTCAAGTCGATTGCTGCAGCCGAAAACTATTGAAAACGTCCCTGCCGCACTTTCCAGCAAGAGGTCCAAACAAGCTTACTACTACAATCGCGGTGCAGCTGAACTTGAGAACTGAGAGATGGAGATGTAGTTCGGGTGAAGCCATTCAGTCATGACAAAAAGAAATGGAAGAAAGCTGTCGAAGAACAGCAAGTGGGTGTACGATCGTATGACATACGTACAGAAGATGGAAGATCTCTTCGGAGAAATAGACGCCATCTTAGAAAATCTCAAGAGGCTGCCCCTGAGACTAAAGATGTCGAACTGGATTTGGAAGAGCAGAGAATGGATGAAAGGTCAATGAAAGAGGTTCAGTCAACTGTGAACTCTCACGGTAACACTCCTGTGAAAACCCCTGTGAAAACTCCTGTGAAAATTTAAAAACTCCTGTGGGCTTTGATTTGAACACTCCTGTGAACACTCCTAGGATCATGGACAGTTCTATTCATGGCACAGCACCTGGTCAAAAGATCAGAACGAGGAGAGGCAGGGTATGAGCATCGATCTGCGCAATTGGGAACCGATGACATGTGTCAACCAAGTCAGCGAGCCTGACCACCCGATCCCGTTATTCGCCTCTTATGACAAGCATGGGTTACTGAAGGCCAATATTCTAACCCGGACCTTCGCGGATCGAAAAGTATAAGACAAAAACCTAATGAAATAAGACGGTATTTAAAGCGTTCATTTGAGCACATGAATGCTTGGGGCTTATGACGACACACAATGCAAAGACAATGATGCAGTGTGCCCAATATGACTCCCGTGAGGCAACAGAAAAGTGTAAGAAAGGGAGAAAGATTTGTTGTCAAAATAAATATGTCTGATAATTTTTATCATTGTTGCCAAGTATTCCATACTTATACACACTGGCATTTAAAATTCACCTAAACGTCTCTTGTTTTGTAAATCTTAAAAAGTTACATGTTAAGATCTGGCTTAGAATTGGTCTTCAGCAACCCATGCTTTTCATAATAGGCGACTGACGGGGTTGGGTGGTCCGGGTCACTGACTTGGTTGCCACATGTCATCGTATCCAGACTGTATGGATCGATGTTCATGCTGCTGATCACTGGATTATCTGGTCCAGACTTGATTATGTAAAGATCACCATATGGCTGAATATTGCTCGTCTCGTTAAATACCAAACTAACAAACTATGTTTTAAAGGGGCCTTTACGTCATTTATAGTTAGGTTTACGTTATTGTTAATATATATTATATGCGGATACAGGTCAATAAAAACATATAACAAAAATATGATGGGTCGAGGACTATCTCATACACCGAGCTTCATTTGAAGTTAAAGCTCTTCCCCTCATTTCAGCCAGAATTATCTATTGATGATGTAGAAGTCCAAAACGTCAGAGAATAAGGAAGGAAGAACATTGCCAGATATCTGTGCATGTCTTAGAATATTCATGCCAACACTTCAAAGACCTCGTAACCAAACAACGAAGCCGTAAGCAAAATAGACTCCACCACCCACGCCACTTCTTAAGTATTGCGTTTGGCTCTTGTCAATGGAGTTCACGATGCCTTGGAGGATTTGGCCCTTTCATGGTCGGCAATTGTGTCCAGATTATGACCAGGGCAGACTCCGGGCACAGTGACTGATGTCCAGCCCTGAAGCTGGCGGGATGCCATTACAAACTGTGAGCCACCTGTGTGACCAGTGCAGATCTAGACAGTACTTGTATTATATAGGGTTGTTTTCCAAAATGTTCATATTCAAAAACTACTTTGACAGAATAATCCTTCGCGTTCAAACTTATTACATGAATGAGCTGGTATCAGCTTCTGTTCTTCTATACCAAATATGTAGACAAAATCGACAATTTTGTTTCTAATCAGAAATCTCTGGTAAAAGCAGTGTCGATTGTTCAACTCCGACTTTATAATTAGCATGTGCTTATGAATCATTATGAAAACATAGCGATGATGCTAGGTTTATTTAGAAAACTTCCTCCATAATTATGTCTACCATAAACGTTTTTTTAAACTGAGTCCTTGAATGTTGTATCCTTGAACGAACCCATTGTATTGGTTGCACAATCATTTGAATAGTTGTCCGTTTGGCTCAGAAGCGGACCATTAGAATTGCAACTAACTCGAAAACTTTGACATAAGGTATTTATTGAAACACTGATCATAATGAAAACCTCAGACCAATTTATTAGGTGTTTGCGAATATGTGAAACGTGAAAGTTGTTAATAACAGCACATTTATTAAAATATCGACACAGTTCACTTATCGCAACTGGGAATAATTAAAAAGGGACTCTTTGAACCGACAAAGGACGGAGACGGAACAGCACAGGTTAATGATTTAATAAAGCAGATAATACCTGTAAAACATTCTTACACCTGGCTGTCACTTTCTGCACGCATCCCTTTTAACATAGTGAACTGTATTTATTTTAATGATAATTGTTAAACAACTTTTTTAATTTTAGGACATAAATTCTGCAAACAAAAACAGTTGGTCTGATGTTTTTATTAGAACAGGGAATACCTGAGTATTAAACCTACATTATTCATATTATAATGGGTCTTACCTGATGTAGGGCATATACAGAAAGTACGTGTGTAACAAATATACTTATAACAAACTGTCAGATATATTGATAACTAACAATATGTTTTGTCCCGTCTGCTTCGTGTTACAGTATATTTTCGTCGAAAAGAGAATAAGTAACTACGAAAATAACAAATTATAATTTGTGTTCGCCTTGAGTTCGTTATGTTTATATAACTGTAATTTACGGTACGTCAGGATCTAATATATATATACAAGTACTGTCATAATCTGTCTGTGGTCAATAAATAGCAAATACGTCTGAGAAACCTGTGGATGATGTGAACAATATCCAACACCGCTTGGCACGATGACATGGAATCATCAAGGCTGACCACCGGATCCATTCAGCGTTAGTGGGAATTAGTTGTTGAGGGAATTGCCCTAATAAGCCAGCTACGTCCCTTGTGACAACCTAATAACACCGTAGACCACGCCCACTCAGTCAAGTCTCTTCTGGCCTCTGGCTTGATACAATAATCGGCGTGCCAGTTCTAATGCTCATAGTATACCATACTGTGGGGAAAACTTCAAATTGATGACATTCCTCTTTATTCAAATGCTCCTGACAT